AAACAAGTGCCACGCTAGTAGTAACAGGTGCCTTACTAGTAGTAACATTGTACATGCACTCCATTGTGCTGGCAGCTTGGCATTCCATATCCCGAACTCTGCACACGCATCCACATCATGCAAACCTGGAGCGCGTGGCATTTGGAACTTGATAACCGATCCTTTTTGCTATGGCTGAAGAGTTCAGCTCCGGCGAGCAACACTGAGAGCTGAGTTCATTGTCGCTTCTAGGTGTTCTTGACATTGTGTGCGCTTGCTCCTCTCTCATTCTCCATCTTCATGTTTGTCAGAGGTACACTTTGGGCCCTCCCTGTGTTTGTCCTTTTTGTCAGAATAAGTGCAGCTAGCCTCTATGCGCATCGCCAGTGTCAACTACATGCACAAGTGTTGTTGCGTGTTGATCAGCCCTGTATTGGTTCAAAATGGTCTTTGATGTCTTTGCCAACAAAGCTTCGGGAGACTGAAACGAACTATTCCACATAGTGTGTTCTTTCATGAAACTAGATGGAGTGCGAGAACAATCAGTTTGTGCACAAGACTGTTTCAGACCAAGCAAAAACAAGACTGTTTGGTTTTTTGCCGTGTTTCAGAACAAGACTTTTCTGGAGCGTGGAGCATCGTGCGAGACGCTTGTGCTCATGATTCGTGGAGGTTACATGGACCGTTCGGCAACGGATCGAACGCTACATCTGTGTCAAGCTCCGCTTGATGTTTCAAGCGCGTTCTTGGGTCAAGTCTTTCGCGCGTTTGAAGAAGGGAACAACACAAACATGGTTTGACCCAGCTTAAAATAAGTTGCACGGCCCAACAAGAAATGAGTCATACCATCCTTATTGTCAGGAATACAGGAACTCGATGCTGTGCCCTTCCTCACAGAATATGTTTTTTGTTGTAGCTCTAAGGTTGCCCGGCGATGCACTCGTTACTAGCAGCGATGTCAAGTAGCTTCTTGCTACCAGCAGTAATGGCCTCCAACCTAGTAGCAATGTCCTCCAACCTAGTAGAATGGAATGCCAATTGGAGGTTGTTGAAAACCCCTTTGAAGAATATATGTGTTGTGAGCCAAGACGGGTTGGTGACAGGTGTATCCTGCGAGGGTGTGTTCTGTACTTGTTCATGACAAACATCCGAAGCGAGGACACTGAAAGCATCTAAAAGCAAAGTTCAGGGATGTAAACAAACACAGCAAGTATCGCAAAGGTTCATCAAAGGTCAAAAGACGAAGCTGTAAGCAGATATGGCTGTAGGCCCTGTAGGCTTTCGGGCAGCAGTAAACGTGGTGCGATTTGGCGCCTCCTCTGGTGAGCCGGTGGGCCCATCGAGCCGAAGGTAGTTCTTGACCACCTTGTAAGTAGAAGATCCAGCGCCTCTATCTTCAATTGTCCACATGTAGTAGCGTCCTTGCTCCTAGTAGTACGGCCAGGAGCCCCTAGTAGCGTCCTTGCTCCTTGCTTCAATTGTCCATAAGTAGTCCGGAGATGGGTCGGTTTTGCGCTGCGAAGCAGTAGAGAAGAGTCTCTAATTCTATTGTTTTTACAGCTCAGCAATTGCAAGATTGTCCGAGAGCAATTGAATGCGGTCAATTCCTAGTCCTAGCCGCTCCTTCGTCTCCTTCTCAGGTTCGCACTTGAGACCCAAAACAAAGATATTGAAAGATCATCGCTAGTAGGATGGAGTCCCTCGCTACTAGGATGGAGGCCATGGCTTTTAGGTGGGAGGCCATCGCTAGGAGGTTTGGATAATATCTTCGAAAAATAATTGTTTGATGCTGCTCGGTGGTCGAAGGGATATCGAGGGTGCCCCATACGTGCAGCATGTCATGTTAAAGCGTCCTTGCTCCTAGTAGCGATGCCAGGAGCCCCTAGAAGCATTTCTTGTTGCTTGATTTCAGGAGTTTCTTGAGAAGAACAGTCCCTTGTCGATGATCATCCGAGCACACGAATGTGTGATGGTTCGCTACTCAAGGGCGGCAAGGGTCTTGCAAAGTTTGGATGAGATTTGCATTCAAGAGAAAGGTTCTTCAATGCTACTATTTCAAGAGTATCTAGAGGTCGCTTTGCTTTCAAGGTTTGAGACTTCTTTTGTTTGCACCAATTGTCTTTGAAATCAGTTGCATGGTGTCAACATTGAGAACCACATGTTGTCAACAAGTGTCGTTGACGACTATATATTTATTTTAATACATAAAATGTTGCTACTTACGGCCTGAATAATCTAATTACTTGTGGCAAGAATACCGTCTTTCGACCAAACATGTGACTTTAGTTGCGAGATCAACAGCAGACAGTCGTTTCAATGGGCACAAGATGCACTTCGTTTGTCTTGGCGATTTGAGCTGTTTGTGAAGACAACGCATACCAGGATGGCTTCGAACGTTTCGCGAATGGTCGTCTGATCACGGTCTTCAGCGCTACGGAGAGAAGTTTACACATGTGTTTGCATCTTTTTAAACACAAGGACAAACAAAGCAATGTACTATGTCTGACCGCTTCACGTTTGTTGGTGAGGACTACTGTGGTCACCACAAGAACGCAGGGGCATTGCTGTTTGTTCGGCGTGACCTCACGATTGTGCCAAAGAATCCACCTTAGCAACTTCTGCAAGTTTGACAGGAGAAACAATGCTTACCATGCTTTGAAGAATGTTCATGGATCAAAGAAGCTCAGTTTGAGCTGGGGTATCTTTGTCAAGGCTGATCTATCCGGTGGAGCGCATGACCACCATGTGGGATCCCATGGTGATGCAGCAGAGACCTCCAACACCACCACGTCCGGCCCAAGCCTCGAGAGACTCGTTTTGAGCGGGCAAGACCATGTCCTTGTTTGTACGGGGTCCTTTGCTACTAAGAACAAAGGGCATCGCTACGAACGGAGCATGGATGCTTACTAGGGGCTCCTGGCCTTACTACTAGGAGCGATTGGACGCTACTAGTAGCGTCCTGTTGTTCCTAGTAGTAAGGCCAGGAGGCCCGTTCGTAGCGTCCGATCGCTCCTGCCTACCACGATTATGGGTTGCCATGTTTGCAAGATTTTCTGCAGGTGCCAAGAGCGCGAAAGTTGGATGACGAGACGGCTTTGCTCGCTTACTCCCCAACTGTTGCTATTGTCATAGGCCAATAGCATTATGCCTTTGTAGGTTGGAGACCATCGCTTTTGATTGGAGGCCACTACTACTAGTAGCAAGAAGCTACTAGGTTGGAGGCCATCGCTAGTAGGTTGGAGGCCATGTTTTTTGGCCACATGCTTCAATCATAAAGCGAAATCTGAGTGCCTGAGGGATCCAAAATGCAGTGTTGCGCAAGCGATCCCCCACCCATGTCTGAGTGTTTGGAAACTACATAGAATCATCAACATGCAGCGGTTGCCTGCCAGGCCTGGAATGGAATGGTGAGGCTCACCTAAGAAGCCAAGCTTGACGATTGGGCCACCTGTTTTGATTGCAGAAGCCAAGTCCGCGCCTTTGATAGCCGGCTTCAAGTCATGCCCTTAAATCTTGGGCCTACTAGCGATGGCCTCCAACCTACTAGCAACGGCCACCTTTCAGAGAAACTCAGACTGCCCTCACAGATGGCCAGAAGTCGACTCAAATGTCTCACAGCCGGGCGCAGAAGCTCCGGTTTCTGCATGGGCAGAAGCCAAAAAGAAGCCGACTAGGACTGCCGAGGAGAAGCTTGGACGTCCTTCCTTACCATGTTATTCTTCTTTGCCAAGACGAGTAAAAAGGAAGCAAAAAGGAATTTGTTTCAGGGGGGATAGGCCGCAGAAGGTAGCTTGCAAATAGCTATTGTAGTAAGTAAGGATAGCTAGTAAGCTGCAAAGTGATCCAGGAGCAACTAAGAAACCCAACGCAGGAAAGCCTTGAAAAAGCCAGTTTTTAGAAACAAGTCGACCAACTTGCTGAAGGCTAAGAAGCTTCTTCTGTTGCTTCTTTTACTTTCTCAGAAGAATGACTTTAGGAAAAAGAACCTGTGAACTTTGGGCTCTTGCCACCCCAAACAGTGAAGGCGGTTGGAGCTTGCTTGTTTGGAACCTGTCCACACTTGTTGGCGCTTGCAATGCAGCAAGAGAGCACATAAGAACACGCAACAGAGAGCAGCCAATATCAGGCACACAGATGAGAGCACACATAATATGGGCATCGCTACTAGGAACAAGGGCATTGTGACATGTTTGTTTTTGTACTGGTAGTAACAAGGGCATTATTACTACTAGGAACGCAATATCAGGCACACAGATGAGAGCACTTGGGAGCATATGAAAGTGCCTAGGGACTGCCACGATATCCACTGTCCACAACCCATATCCCAATTAGATGTGAGATGATGCTTGTCAATTAGGCGCTTGTAATTCGCAGATCGGGCCTGCATCGAGACGTCTTGTTATGTCATGAACCCGCGGGAAAACATAGGAAAACCCCGCTAGCCGCTAACCAATGTGGTTAACGGGTTCTTTTGCAAGACTGTCTTCGCTGACAGAATTTTAGGTAACAAGTGCATCAGGCCCAGCGCACATGTTCAGAGCACCAACCTTAAGAAGTCCTTCAGTGTCACCACTGCTTAGGGAAAAGGAAAAAAATGATCACCTGAATGAAGGTCGTGCAAGAGTGCGTTGAAGAGTGCTCCTGCTGGAGTCCTTAGGTTTTTGAGCATCACTACCTGACCCCTTGGTACAAGCACGAACGCGTTCTTTTGCAAAGCTCGCTGTGGAAGACCAAATGCTTGGAAGGCCTTTTCTCTTGCGTCAAGAGTCGAGAAAGGAACACAAGGCTTAGATCGACGAGAGATACTCTGTAGATGCACGTTGTGACTTTCCGTTCAGCATCAAAAGCTGAACAGGAAGGAGCTGGAAGGAACTCGGATTTGAAGGGTTCTTATTGTCCTGCTCTGTGCTTTGAGTGTCACGTTTTCTTCAGTTTATGTTGTGTTTGTCTCCTGTTCAGCTTGGCTCAAAGTATTGGCGCACGTCGCCATGAAAGGACATGGAAGCTATGGCTACACTCCTGTGGGGAAGCCAAGTCTACAGAAGATGGTTGGCGACTCGCACAAGCAGTCGATGTGTGTTTTGGCCATCGGATTGATTCTAATCTTCATGATGCTGATACTTGGCTTCTGCTACGTTTGGTATTCGAGCGTGATTCCACGTCAATGCCCTACAGGGTTGCCATTCTACTTCTGGCTGAATGGCATTTCCAATTTGGCTTTGGCAGTGCTTCTAGCTATTGGGCTCTACCTCATGAAGGGAATGATGCTCTCGGTGAGCCATCAAATGCTAGCGCAGGGCATGCACGATCACGCCCAGGCGAGGCGAAGTGGCGAAGTAGGGTTAGACCAGAAACGAGACTAGGAACAAGAAGCTACTAGGGGCTCCTGGCATCGCTACTAGGAGCAAGGACGCTACTAGAAGGGGTAGCCATGGGGGGTGGAGTGGTGTAGATTGTAGAAACGCAGGTTTTTGTGGGGGTGGTGATATGCAAGCATTAGCAAATGCAGAGCAGCTTCTCAAAACAAAGACGACTAAAAATTTCAGACCTATGTCTCCTGTCGCTCTCACACCTATTTTTTGAAGCTCGGGGGGATAGGCCTCCAACCTACTAGCGATGGCCTCCAACCTAATGGTGATTAGCGATGGCCTCCAACCTTTACTAGCCAATGGCCTCCAAGCTACTAGGGATGGCCTCCGACCTTTACTAGCGATGGCCGCCAACCTACTAGCGATGGCCTCCGACCTACCCTCCAACCTAAGAGAGATGGCCTCCAAACAAACTAAGAGCGATGGCCTCCAGCCCAAGAGCAGACTATATTAGACTTGCTTTTTGCCCGCTCGGCCCTGCCTCGCCCTATTCAAAGTTAAGTAGAGACTACCTACTTAATCAAGTGCGCTACTAGCAATACTTAATTTACACATGGACGCAGGATAGCTCACGCACTAATCATTTGGTTCCTACATGTTCCTAATGTTCCTAGGTTTTTAGGGAATTAGTAATCCAGGAGAAGCGAAGTTTGTGCGGAAGCATTCGTACGCCATGTCAGAGGTTCTGCACCAGCTTCCTGTCCAAGCCTGGTTGAGTACAAAGAAAGAATACTAAACACAAGAATAGCTATATGTCATAAGATTGTTTAGCAAGAGTTAGGAGGCCATTGCTATTAGGTTGGAGGCCATTGCTATTAATAGGTTGGATTTGGAAAATATGTTAGGTCAAAGTTAGGAACGGTCATCAGCCAGGCCTACGCCATTGCGGGAGGCCATCATTCCACGTCTGTTGCTGCCCATCGCTCCGAGTTCCAGGAGAGTGCCCTGCACTATGGTGGTGGAATGACTGCAGTCCTGGTATTGCAGTCCCTGGTGATGTTGTTTCAACTGGGCTTGGGCATCTATGGCTGCTATGAGGCTGTGAAGATACAGCGCGAGGGCAACTCATACATTTGTGGAAATGCGATTCCCGTCTTTTGGACCTTGTTTAGCCTGCACCTGATCCAGAATTGCTGCAACCTTGGAAAATTTCAGAAGGGCCGCTTGGAGCACAAGACATTTGCTTCGTCCTTTTCTTTTTTCTTTGTTTCTACTAGCGATGGCCTTCAACCAGCAAACTATATTAGAACTTGAAAGATTCAGAAAACCCACATTTTGTACTTCACTTCGTGCGAAAAGTTTGCCTTCGGTCTTGGTTCGCACTATCGCTTGTCAAGAATTTTTGACTAGCGACCTACTAGAGAGTCCTTTGCAGCCCCAAGGTATATACGGGGAATTATTTCTATCCGTGCTTTTGTAGCCCCCCTAATATCCGCGTAGAGGCTGTTTGGCTGGGCGGAGTTCATCCACGCAGTCAGATAGATGGGCTCAAGACATGTCTCCTTTACATTAACAAAGCTCCCTACTTTTGAGCTGGAAACATGTCAGGGGACGGACATGAGGTTTAGCTCGGTTGGCGATTGTGGGGCTCAGGTTATCAGCATCATCCCCGCGGAGAAGAAGATGGTATTGAGAGTGAATAAAAATTTCACATGTCGTTGGATCAGTTCAATTCAAATCAATTTACCTTGCTTTCAAAGAAAGAAAGAATTCGCAACCGCCAATGATTGAAAAACGATCAGGTAATGACTTCGAACAACAAGCCAGACCGCTTAAAAAGAAACATATAAGTGAACATAATTGATATATTTATTACCTGAAATATATTGAAAAATGAATACTATATGGTACAGGTATATAAAGGATATTGAATTCAATCATTGTTTGGATATAATTTAAGCTATGCGCGACGCACGACGCAAAGAGAGCACAGGACGGACCACGACGACACAAACAAAACCCCTGTGCGCTGGAAACCGGCGCAGAGATACTACTAGCTTCTTGTTACTACTAGTAAGGCACTTGTTACTAGAAGCGATGCACTTGTTCCTAATAGCTTTTTGTTACTACTAGTAAGGCAATTCGAACGATCTTTTCTGCGACAATTGGAGCTTTCATGTTGTGTTGCTTGTCTATTTCTGGGTGCCTGAACAGCACGCCCACATCCTCGCTTGCTTGTGAGCAATGGCTCAGAGTGCAGCTTCACCGACAGACCGTGTGTCATTCCGTTTCTATCCATGACAGTTGCTTTCAACATCTTTGTTAGCTTTTTGCACGCAATGGCTGAGAGCGCAGCCCCACCGACAGAGCCAGCCGTGCATGTGACTCCTCTTTGCTGCATCTTGCGGATGTGCGAACAAAGCTTTTAGAGCCGCCAAATCACCAGCATTTCATCCAACCAATGCATACAAATGATTCATATCAATGGAATAGTAAATAGAATCTTACGGAT